CAAAATACTCTTCCTCCACTCCTCAGGCATCTTTTTAGCTTTTAAAATAATATTAAAGAGTTTAGTAAGCCAAGAAACTCCCAAATATTTTCACACTTCAATTGGGATATCATCAGGTCCTACAGACTTTCCACCCTTGGTTTTCTTTAAAGTCTCTTCAACTTCTCTTTTGTTAATACGACGGTAAAAATGAAATGTTTTATTATTATTCATGATATTAAGATCACTAAGATCGATCGTATTTTCAGAAACTTCATTAAAAAGTTTATCAAAGTAACTCACCACCTATGTTGAATATCTTTTTCTAAGAAAAGTACTTTTTGATTTTCATCTTTAATACACATTACTTGAGTTAAATCTTTACTTTTCTTTTCTCTTTGTTTGGCTAGTTTATACATATATTTTTCACCCTCCTTAATATCTAATCTATTATAAAGATCATTAAAAATAAAATTTTTAGCGTCACAGATTGTTCTTTTAGACTCCTTGCGGACCGTTTGATATTTTTCTCAGTTCTCTAAGCTTTTACATTTAAACCAATTTTTATAACATAACTTCTTATATTTTATCTTTTCTTGCACATTATTATTCCACCACCAACTATTTTTATTTATAAAAACTTTTTCTTTTGATTCTCCAAGCACATCTTTTGCTACTTGTTTAATAGTGTTTGTTACTTTATCCCACATTGAATATCCCAAATTTTGAAATCTTGAATTTTACTCATAAAAATAATTTTATTTGTATCTTTTAAGTTTCTTCATCTAATTCAACGATGATGAGTCCTAGTATTTTTTATTTTATAACTCTTAATCTTAAAATCTAAAACTAATAAACTATATTGGGTACTTAAATTTTCACTTAGAATGACCTTACAATCTTTACAATGGCGACGACCTCTTCTTCTCATAAGAAAATAATCAATTTATGTTTTATTAGATCCACTCTTATAAGTAATAAGAATTTCAACTATTTTCTTGAATAAAGTATTAGTAATAAAAAAATCATACGCTAAAACAAAATCTAAAATAACTCTACCTTATTCATTAGTTACTCCAAAACCGTAGCCACCATGAATATTTTTGAAATCTTCTACCACTCTACTGACATGTTCATTTAAATCTCCTCCAATAAAAATTCTTTCTTCAGGAGGTATCATTTGTATTAAGTATTCTATGTCATTCCAAAATTTATCTTTAAACCCTGTATCTAAACCTACTTCAGGAGCATAAGCACTTATAATATTAAAAATCTTAGTATCAAAGATAATCTTAAGGGCTATAATTCTATCACCAACTCTATTAATTTTTACAATATTATCTTTCAAACTCTTATATATAATTACACCTACATCATTTTTAGTGCAACTCTTACCAGAAAACCAAATTTTAAAACATAAATTATCAATCTCCTTAGCTTTTTCTCCAATTCGCTTAGTTTTTTTAATACATAAGATATTAATTTTCCTATGAATCATAATATCAACTAATTTTATTAATTTACCATTGAGAGTACCATTGAGAGTACTATATTTCAAGATCATATCTTAATATTAGTTTCATTAGTTTCATGGACTAACTTCTTTACCTGCATTCGCCCGTAATGTGGGATCTCTTGCTTATTTAACACTACACCCGTAATGTGTAAATAAAAGAATGATCCCCAAAAGACTAAACTCACTAATTTTTGTTTCTCTATAAATACATCAACCATCACTCCTAACAACAAATCGCTACTGATAAAGTATTCTAATGAAGCCACGGTTGGTGTGCTCATCCAAACATTAACAACCTTGACCTCACCATAAACCTTCACAAGAACAACTTAATAGGTTCCCAGAGCCTCCATTGCAACCATCTTGCTTGTTGGAGGACCTTTTTTATGAGCAACTCCAGAAAATTATAGTGGCTCCACTTTTGTCTATTTCAGTGGAGGATACTTAGCAAATCGAGAGGCTAAAGCTTCAATAGCCACACACATGGACACTTAAAGTATTTCAAATATACCATAGCTAAAGAGATGATAGTATCTCTTCATGCATGCAAGAAAATGAAGTGAACAAGAAATTACAATATCAAAGAACAAACAAAAAAAAAAAAACAAACAACAAAAGTTCTTAAGGTCAACCCAAGCCAAATGTATAGACTTTGAAGTTGATGTGTCTATCACTTGTCAAAAATCCAAGCATCATATAGATTCTAAGTACTAGATTAGCCGGATTGTATTGAGTTCCTAATTTCATTCATATAATCTCCTCGGCTACTCAAAACATAATAAAAAATCAATAATTCATGTCCAACCAAATTCAATTAGATAAAGTTGATCAAGTCCTAATAAGAGCCTTAACAAAATTTAACAAGTCATTAATCCTAAAAAAGTTCGAGCCACATCTAAAACGTCAAACTTACTAAAGTTAAATTGCACAAAGCCATTGTTCTTCTATTATTGCATCTCGCAATGACGCAAATTCAACTCGGCACTTAGTAATAAGCTATTGAACTCAACGATGCTGATGAAGCCGCAAACTCATCAAAATTATTCACCCTTAGAACACTCTCCTCCTCATCTGTGGTATCTATCCATCAATAGAGGTTCTCGTTGGAGAACTCATCAGACATGCCACCCTCAATTCAAAATAACCCGATATTATAGCCTACTGAAATGCTATCAGTTGAACAAGTTCACAACATAGCTAGCTGCATAAAGTATAATAATGCATATTTTCTTGCTATATTCAATCGCAACCCATCTTATGCCACCCAACTTGATCCTCGCATACAAATAGAGTCACGAATTGGAAATATGCATGGCAGCATCCTATATTTGGGCCAAATCTCAACCTTCTAAACATAGAAAACTATCTAAGATTCTTTCTCAAACTTTCTCTATTTTCTCTCTTCTCTTTGAACTTGATTTTCTTCTAAAATAGGACCATCCTACTTTCCACAGACAACACTGGATCCAACAAAACATTTTTCATATCAACTGTCAATTAGGTTTTGTGAGATATAGTTGCTATATTTTATATTAGATAGACTTGAAATGTGATTCAAAATAGAGATAGCAAAGGACTTGGCGGACGAAGTGGGGAGAGATTTAAAAATTAAAAGATGAAGAAAATGAAGCCATTCCTTACCGCTGGCGAGGTGTGCAAAACATCCTTGAAAATAACAACCAAGTTCCACATGCACCAATACGATCAATAAACCAAAAATGAAACCAAGCAACGAAGCAAGACTATAATCATGCATAGCTTTACTTGTTGCATCTCGGTCAAGTAGATTTCTTGAAAATCTCCCGCTGATAGCCATCATTCGTGAATGGCCACTGATGGGAGATTAGTACTTAGGATATATCAATATTAAGCACCTTCTCTCTAAATCCTAACCATATTTAATGCACCTCTATTTCTCAAAACAACAACACTAACATTTTAAACAAGGGGAATTTAACCTCACAATTCACAAGGGTTTACATGTCTAATACCTAGAGTTTGACTTTACATTTATAACAATCAAATCCTTAGTACAACAACAACAACAACAACAATAAGCCTTTATCCTACAAAGTGAGGTCAGCTACATGAATCCTTTTTCTCCATTGCGTCCTATCATATTGAGTTTTGTTGCCCGAATCTGATGGTTAGAAACTTGAGAATCCCAAGGAAAAACCTAACCGAACCGTATATAACAAAGAAAGTAAGAAAAGTTATTGGAGAAGATAAAGACAGAGAAATAGTTACAGTTGGGTGCGTCCACGGGGCCTGAATGGTAGTTCTCGGACTGGAGGATCTGCTTAAGGTGCTTCCAGTGGCGACCTCGAGCGTGTCCTTTAGGGTATTTGTCACCCATCTGCACCTTCTTGAATGGAAAAACAGGCGGCAGCAACATCTCCGAATTCACCACTTCGACCTCCATCTTACCTAACTGAATCGACTAAAAACCTAAATTCAAACAGATTTCTTAACTTCTCTACCTATATTGCTGCGAAGAAGGAGATGTCGTCGTTTTAACGCCGCGGGAGAACGAATGAAAAAGAACTCTGCGCGTTCTAACTTTCATAGTTTCACTTCGGAATTTTTTTTTAGAAGATTTATATATATAACAATATTTTAGGTATTTTATAAGTAAATGTTAAACTTTAAATGTTATTTACTTAAATATATAAGAATTATGTGGGATTGATGTAATCCTTACAATAAATACATAAACAACATAATTTTAAAGATGTTTTATATAAGTGTCATAAAATCCAAATATATTTATTTGTTTAAGGCCTAAATTTTAATTGTTACAATTACCACAAAAATTAATTTTTAGTGGTAATATCACAATTGCTAAAACTTTTTTGAATTTGAAATTCAAATAAAAAATGAAGCATACCATGTTTGATTTTAACCTTATTTAATTTTTTTCTAAGCTCAACTTTAAAGCTAATGATCAAAAACTAGAATTTAACCTGGTTAAATTTTGTTGGCACAAACTTTTATGCTCATAACTCATTTCAACCGATTTTGAATGTGATTAAAACAAATCATATTGCTTTTGAGCCAACTTCAATTTTTCATTTGAACCTCATATCATTTCATTTTCAACTAGAGAGTCTGTTGGCATCAAATTTTGTTGTCACATGCACGGGATGTCTACTTGAATGATACAGAACATTGTTCAATCTCCTGCAATTCAAGGCATCAGATAGGACCTCCTAGTATGTTCTTGGAGCACAGAATAAATATCGGTATCGATTCTGCCCTACCCAGGAAGACGCACTATGTGGCGATGGTAATTTTGTGTCCATTTTGATGTGAAGAGACCATATCGTGTCTATTCAGAGCATCTCGTGGTCAAGGGTAGTCATCTAACTCTTCCATGCACGTTTCAGAAAACTTGGTTTCAACCCAACCCATCCGCACGGGAGTCCGAAACGCCTGTTGGTACTCAAACTCGCAAATCAAAACTTTTGGATTGCTCATTCTTAAGTTATGGGATTGTTCATATGAACATCCGAGCACATAATTTGAATTTTGTAACGTTTGAGTCGTACCTGGGCATGGGTGGCAATTTTTGTCTGATACGACGCACCCTTAGTGTCTATCCCGATGTGGGTAAGCTTAAGTTTGTCCCTACATATCCTCTGAAGGTCTAGGAACTCATAAAACCCTCACGCTCGCGCATTTGGGAGAATCAAAGTTTAGGGTGTCGCACCTGCACAGTTGTTATGGCTTATGTTGACATTGAGTTTTCTGATAAAAGATCCATAAGAATGTTCATTTTTTATGTTATGGGATCATGTTTCAATGACACATAATCTCCCATAGCGTATGGATCGATAATATCCTTCATTAGATAATTTCTACGAAAATAAAAGTTTTTGAGTCAGACCGTCGCTTAAGCGCTAGCCCTAGGAGCCTAGGAGCCCAGAGCAGCCCCCAAGCTCTCAAAACCAAGAGCCTGGATAGTAGACGCCAACCCCCTGGCTCCTAAGCACCAGATCTTGAGTCTATGTGTCAATCCTTGGAAAGTAGGTGTCTGAAACAACCTCAGAAGTCTTAGAAACCAAGCAGACGAAAAACAAGTGTTTGAGCCCTGGTGCTTAGGCACCAGACCTAGCACCTAAACGTTCAGGCCCAGCCAGGTTCCAATTTTTTTGGATTATTTTGACCATTTTGACTCACTAAAGCTAAATACTTGAATTTGGGAAAGGGGGAAAAGGTTTTAATGAAAACACTTAGCCACCTAATAAGAATATGGACTAATCATACGTCTTACAGAGAGTTCATTTTGGGTGAAGTTTGGTCAAAAGCTTGGACTCTTTCAAAGGCCTTTCCCTCCACTCCCTTTGCATCCAACCCAACATTTTGAATGGGAAGGAGGTCTCATTTGCAAAGGGGGGAGATGAAAATAACTTAGTTATTGAAGAAGAGAAGAGCATGGAGGAGAGTTTTAGAGCAAGAGAGGTTTTCATCTTCTTCCCTCCTCCTTCTTCTTCTTATTCAAAATTTCCTCCAAATCCTCTTATTTTCTTCCACTAATCTTTATAGAAGAGTGTGAGGGAAGCCTTGAAGAGGCTTCTACAAATAAAAGCTTCATCTCCTTGTGAAAAAAAGTGCTTCATCCCTCTTGTAGGAGGAAAAAAGCCTTCAAAACTTCTGTGGAAAAGGAGAGCTTCATCCAAACATGGTAAGAGCAAAGTGCAAGCAAAGAGAATGCATGTGCAAACGCTGCAAAAGGTGAAATTTTTTACAACTCAATGCATTATCATTCTTTGAGCACCTTAAGTTGAGTGTTAGAGATTTAAGGACCTAGGTTGTGTGCTAGAGAAACACCCCTTAGGTTACGAGCGATTTATTGATTTTCCTACTAATTGTTGAGCTCTCCTTATAATCATTTGCACAAAAAACCCAATCGTCCATGAGACTAGAAACCTTCTGATTATCTCGGCGGCTTCATCTCTTGAAGAATGAATTGAAGCCACTTTGATCTGGAGATCAAGAAAACCATTTGTTTCTCGTTCCCTAGATCATGAAGGATGCGTCCGCGAGAGAAGCTTTATTTTTGTGAAGGTTTTCTTTCTCGCATGAAAGTCCCTTCGTATTTTTGTTGGATAATTAGAGGTAAGCTTTCTGTTGCGTTCATCAAACTCTAGATCCTATGTGAGGACATTAGGAGAAACCTACTTTGTTATCAAATGCACATGGTTTCATTTGCTTGTGTTTTGCATGACACTTCGCACATGTCACCTCGATCGTATGATTGTATTAGCTCGATTGACCATCGCTTTCCGATCAAATGTCCACTCTGGCTTGATTGATTGCCCCAACTCCATAGACTAATAAAACTAGTTCGATTAGCCACCAAAGTCTGATTAACTGACCACTTTGGTTTGTTCGAACGCCCGACTCTATCAACCAATCAGATTGGCTCGATCGGCCACCAAGGTCCAATCAACCGCTCAAATTGGTTTGATCGATCGCCAAAGTCCGATTAACCGTCCATCTTTGTTCGATCGGCCACCCAAGCTCAATCAACCAATGAAATTGGCTCAATCTATCACCAAGGCTCGATTGACCTATCACTTTGGTCTGGTTGGTCATTTCGGCTCGACCAACCCCTCTTGGACATAACACTTGGTTGACTGTCCCGATTAACCTAGATTGTCAATTCCAACTTCACTTGCATGTATTTTTCGTGTTACTTGCATGTCTTACATAACACTTTGCATGTGCTCCCACCTTGGTTCGATCGACCACCAAGGCCGATCGCAAAATCACATTTTGGTTTGATCGATCATGAAGGTTCGATCGATAAAACCAATCATTTTGATTCTATCATCCATGAAGGTCCGATCGATAAAACAAACCACTTTGGTTTAATCAATCGTCAAGGCCGATCAAAAAACTACAATTATGTTTGATCGGCCACCATGGACGATTACAAACCTAAATCGGTAAAACCAATCAAATCTAGTTCGATCAAGCACACATGTCGTCACAAAACCACATTTTGGTTTCATCAACCATGAAGACATGATCGTCTATCACTTTGGTTTGATCAACCACAAAAGCCTGACCGATAAAACCAATAACTTTGGTTCGACCGACCACCAAGGCTGATCACAAATGTGACCGATCACAAAACTATAATTTGGTTCGATCAGCCACAAAGGCCAGATTTGTAAAACCAATTGCTTTGGTTTAATCGAACCACGAAGGAACAATCACAAGATTAACCATTTGGTTTGATAGATCACGAATGCCTAATCAGTAGAACCAATGATTTGATGAGATGATGATGATGATAATAATAATAATAATAATTAATTTACACCAAATTTAATAGATAAGTATGTTTTATTGTGTTTGATTGTATAATTATTTATATTTTAAATTTTAATTTACGCTAGTCAACATGGGATGGATATATCCATGATAGGGTCGGTGTAGCTCCAACAATGGATACAAGTAGAGAGAGTCGTCTTAGATGGTTTGCTCACACCAAACGCCGACCATCTGATGATTCGATTAGGAGAGTAGATGTTTTAGATCTGACTTATGTCGAGAAAGGCGGAGGTAGACCTTGGAAGACCAGGGCTTATTATATAAAAAAGTGATCTTATTTTATTTGAACTAAATGAAAATATGACACTAAATAGGATGCAATGGAGAAAAAAAATTCATGCAGCCGACCCCACACAGTGGGATTAAGGCTTTATTATTGTTGTTGTCTTTGTAGGACCGCTAGTCAACACTAGTTGCACCGTCAAAATACTTAGAAGTATTGTTTTGCCTTCTTGAATGGGATTCCAACAAATCATATTACTTTTGAACCAACTTTGATTTTTCATTTGAATCTCATATAATTGTTTGAAGCTCATTTTCAACTAGGTGTTTCATCTCCAATCCCAACACAATTGTGGAGTCTGTTGCATTTTAATGTAGCCTTCAAGCATTGTCAACATGGAGGAGTTATTAAATACATTATTGTTTGTCAAGAAAATATGAAAAATTCATTCCAGTTTTGAAAGCAAGATCGGAATTGTAAGAATAAAAGTTTTTTCTCTTTCCCTCCTCACTTATTATACGTTTCTTATTGAGAAAGAATATTTCTTATTTTGCACTTATTATACGTTTTATCATCGCTCATAAATAGCGATTGACTGCCTCAGTTTGTTTGTGCACTGCATATTTACATATTCGATCAAATATTATAATTATAATATTACTTTTTCTAGCACTTCACACATATGAAATACAATTGATTTATAGTATCACCAGGTTGTGTAAAGTAGCTTATTGCATATATGTTAACTTGTGAAAAAAAATTTGCAAATGTGCAAGGCTTTTACACATGGATATGTAGATTGGTGAAACTATTTTGATATTGGTTAGTAGGACTGACGGGCCCACATAATGATAATTCTACCAAATATTATTTGGTCGCCATAGGATAATATTCACATTCTCGATTTCAAGGTGTCTATTAAAACATTATTATATATTATAATTGAATAATAAATAAATATTAAATGATTGCATGTTTTCTTGATAATCATATATATATATTTTTTATTTCACCCTTGATGTCATATAATGTCACATTATAACACAGTTCATCTTATTTGTTTATACCACATGCCTTAATTCCTTGTTGGTAATGCATTAATATTTACTGGATTGAATTTGTCAAACTCATATGTTAAAACTTTTGTATAGCAAGTTCTAGTTAACCAGTTACAGATCTATGTTCATTGGAGCAGATTTTGCAGTTCTAGATTTTCTTTTGGGCTTTTTTAATTTTAAATTAGTTATTTAATAATCCTCTTTTGAGTTTTGAATGGTTGTTTTCTAGAGTTATTTTAGTTTTGTTTAAATAAAATTTATCATTTATTATTTCTTTATATTTTTGCTTGCATATAATTTTTCCTCGTGCAAAAAATATGTTAAATTCATTCATTCATGTCCTATAATGTCGGGGTGTACCATCTTCTAGACCCCGACTCTGAACAAATGTTAAATAAAATGCTTAACATATATACATACATATATATATATAAAGAGAAATATTATCTCAAATAAAAATATAGAAGTCAAGTTTATCCATAAAAAATGTTATAAATGATATAAAGTAAACATTTCTCATACTAAATATATTATATTATAAAAATTGAAAAGATGAATTTTGATGTTATTTTAAAATTCAAAATAGAAGATAATTTTATAAGAGTAGACAAAGATATAAAAAAAGTAGCCGGCAGCCGCATCGACTGGTAGGGTTCCTCCTCTTTTATTAGTTGGACAGAAGCCGCCGGAGCCAACGACCGCGCAACTGCGGGAGGTAGATGGGCGGGAATGCTTGATCATGGTTGTTATGTATGTAGCAAGGATGCCTCTGGAAATTTTTGGTGTGCTGCTTCTCTTTGTTGTTCTGAACCCTGCGTCAGCCGGTTCGTCTCGTTCTCTCCCCATCGTTCTATCTTCCTCATATCCTCTACTCAATCTTTTGATTTTCAAAATATTGCACAATTTCATGCTCTGTCCGGTTTTTCTGCTTTTTATGCTCACTAAGGTGCCGTCGCGGTGTTCATTTTCACCTGCTAGGTAGGTAGAAAAAGGCCATGTAAGGAGATCCAAGCCGCTCCGGTTTGAGAGGAAGAACTTGGGAATTAGTAAAATTTTAGATTAATAGCGTATGAGTGTTATGCGGAAAAAGTGTATTTATCATTTTCTTAACGAGCTCGTGAAAAATGTCAAAAACATTCAATGTGCTTGACGGCAGCGACATCCCTAACAAGCGCATGAACAATAAAACTGTTTCTTATCCAAAATTAGCAAAGCCAGTGTTATAAACTCTATTTGGTAAATCATTATATAACACTTTAACATTGCAGGCCAATACCCTAGACAAAGATTAATATTTGTTATGAATCTACCCTGTCGGTTCAATTAGATATAGTAGAATAAGCACATTTGTATCAGAGTTGAACTTGGTCACGAAAGCGCTTATCATCTGTTTTATCCATTATAGTAAGTTAACTAAGCAAAATTTAGATACATACCACACAATTCTTATGTTTTTACATATTTAGCAACTAAAATTTGATATTTATATTTATAACACTTTATCTCATATTCATATCGAAACCAATGCATGAAATGTTAAAAAATGTCAGCAACGTCCTTGTCAACAATAGTGGTATTTTTGACATGTTTTTTAATGCCATGCATGTACATATGAAACTTTAGATATCAAATATATATATATAAGAATTTTGTGTTATGTTTTGCAAATTTATTTTCAAATGAATCAATAGAAAAAGCTGAAAAAATAGATATCACATGACATGCGTGTTGTTGATTATAGCACGCATTAGGGGTGTGTATTAGGTCAGTTTTGATGAATTGGTTTACCAACTTGGTAAACTGATTGAATCAAAATATATTATAGACATAACCGAACTGAGCAAATCATAGGTAAAACTGAACCAAATTAAATCACTATATAGTTTTTTTTATTCTGTTTGGTTTTGTTTTAACTGAATTTTAAAAGAAAAGTAAAAGTTCACTTTAAATAACTTATAAATCATGATCAGGTTATTATACAAGGGAAAAAAAAAGAGATATTTTATTGATGAATGGATGGATAGAATGAGGATTTGTAATGGAAGCTTTGTTAGTTATGTTTCAAGCAGTGTCTGGCGAAGCATATCCCTTGAAAATTTTGTTTTTATAAGTTTTCTTATTTTTATTTTCTTCTATTTTATTCATATTTTATCGAACTCTTTGTATTGTTTTTATGATGAAAGTCGCTTAAATAAGTGCAAGTATTTGGAAGCCTTCTGAATCTTTTATTATATGGAAAATCCCTCCGGCCACCACCACCTTGCCTATGTCTTCCACCTGCCACTTCCGACCAACACATTATTTTTTAAATACATTGAAATACATTGTTTTCTTTTTATTCTAAACCAAACAAAATAATATGAAGTTGCACTATTATTTTATAGTAAACCAAATAACTCCAAAGTATTTAAAAAATAATAAATTACATCTGCGTTGCATTCATTTTATATTACATTATTTTTTCCGTCGATTGTAATATTTTTACAAATATAAATAGATGCTTGTATATCAAATCAAGTCCTTAGAAGCCAAAATAACCGTAAATAATCGTCGTCAGATTGCTATTGAAGTTTAAATCATTTAAGGATTATATTGCTTTTATATTTATTATTTCGGCTGAAGCACTGCTGCCCTTAAAATTGGTCCGACAGGGGTTCATTTCTGAATTCCTTGAACCTCTGGCTTGAGTGATTGAGTGCCGTTCATCTTTGGTTGTTTCCAGGACTTGTGAGTTTCTTCAAAGTGTTTCTCAGTGAATGTAACAACATTCCGGAGTTTCACATCACCTAATAATGACCTTTAAATAACATAATTATAATTATTATCATGTTAACATTATTTTAACCACTTGATTTCAGCTTCATTAGTATGAATAAGAAGTACAATATCAAATTTGTTCTAGGTTAAAATGTTAATGCATAGCGACCATATGTTTTAAAGAAAATATAAAGTTAAGAGGGTTTTATGAATAATTTACTTGTTTCACATGGTGTATACTAATTAGCATTGCCTGAAGAGAAAAGTTAGGCATTGATGCAAAAATTCTTTCTGCAGATGGTTTCTGGCATTCTGCAGATGGCTTAAACCTCTTCAGCTTTTTCCTTTTTCTGCTTATGCTTTAACTACTAAATTTCAATATGCATTTTCTGAAATTTATCTATGCATGGGATCAAATACATCATTAGCATGCCGGTGCTTGATTTTTTTTCTTCATGGAGCAGGGAATACTTGACTTCCAAGTTCTTTTGTTCAACATTAAAATTTAGGAATATTTACATACATACCACTCAATTCTTACGTATTTACATATCTAACACTTATAATTTAATTTTTTCGTACATACTACCTTACCCTTGCATAAAAAGATGTTTTTCACTTTTTAAAGTTAAAATGGTGGTATTTTTGATGTGATATGAAAGATTTGGATGGTATAAATTTAAAATGGACAGTTTAGGTATTAGATATGCAATCACATAAAAATTGGGTGGTATGTATGTCTATACCCCTAAAATCTATTCTCAAGTGTCAATGCTTGTTCCTAAGCCAAAGAGAGGTATCTTTTTGGTAATTATAAACTAGAATCTTTTATTCTCGGTTGTTTTGGTTTTGAGCTAGTGAACATTATGCTCATTATAATTCAGGTCAATCAGGCGGATCATGTAATTCTCTTGGAGGCCGTTTTCTTCAATTTTCAACTGAGGGGAAACCCCCAAGAAAAGTTACCAAGGGACCTAGAGATTTAGCTGCTTGCCGGGTTTTTCGTCAGAAAACTTGTTGCGATGCTTCTCAGGCCTATCGTGTCTTGGAATTTGTACGAAGGTTGGCTTTATTTGGAGAAGCTAGCCAAGAATGTTTACATATATGGGAAATGTTGGAGTGCTCAGTGTGTGATCCTCGTATCGGCGTGCTTCCTGGGCCACCAGTGATATGCGCCTCCTTTTGTGATATGGTCCTAAAGGATTGCTTAAGTGCATATTTCTCTTTTGATTCAAGAATTAAGGTTCATATCATCCCCGTTCAATTTGTGTGTTTAATTGCATGTTTATGACACTTATAATCTCAAACTTATCTATTGTTTTAATGTTTGAACCAAGGGTGCAACAAAATGAGCTTGAGCGATCTCAGTGCGTGTTTGTGTTTGATTTGTTTGAATATATATATATATATATAT